AGGTCGAGTGAGCGCATGCGGTCAGTGGGGACTGGGAGGGGTGGGGAGGGGTGCAATCGTCCATGCTGGAAGTGAGAGTTCCTTGGAAAACGAGTGGATCCTCGAAATGGATGACGGAACAGATCGTAAATATGCTGGTTGGATTATTTTACAATGGCCGTTTTCACGACGGAACTTTCGCAGAGGAACTTATTTGATACCTAAAAAGTACCTACCCTTAGAGGCCTTAACATCCCTAAAACTGAAATATTTTATGTTCAAAATAATTTTAGAAGTTTAAATCCGGGCATTTTTTGCCCTCAAATCACTTGTTTATTTACAAACACAGCAATTTTTGGTTCTAGTAGCCCACCTTTCGACTATGAGGTATTAAATCAGCGTGGCAACTTGCTCCCTCTTTGCTCCCTCGGGTATCTAATTCCGGAATTCTTAAAAAGAAGGAAAGCATATATCGAGTTCTCTTTTATACCTATTCAGTTATGTTTTAATGGTGATTAAAATATGACAAATTTTTTAATTACATTTCATATAAGAAAACACGCAAAACAATGAAACAAAAATAACTACGGCAGATAATTACCTTCAGGTATCTAATTCCGACCAATCAGCACCTCAGTAGGATATGACGTCATACAAGAATGGTGGTGAAGGCCGTTTGCAGTCCCGGCCGGTAGGTCACGTGACCGCCGGGCGCCTCGGGTCACGCGGCGGTCGGGAGTCGGACGCGGGGCGTGGTCGCGGGCGGACGCGCGGGGCATCATGCTTTGCTTTGCTTGCTTTGTCAACTTCATATAACTTACTATCGCATTCGTGTGAAAGCCAAACACTGCTCAGTGCCTTTAGAAATTGAGTTTTGGAAAGCTCAAGTCCCTATAGCTCCTCAGGTCGGCAACAGTTGAAGCCTCATCTGAACGCATGTGAAAAAAACGAGGGTAAGGAACCTTGTGTTGCTTTTTCTTTTACCGTCATAATTATCTCAAACCATCACAATTTTGAGTTGCCACATTGTCTGCTTCACTACATTCGTGTAAAACTTGGGTGAAGGCTGGTGGCTCAAAGAAAGGTGAAGATATTTCTTTAAGTGCCTAATCCGTGAAATTGAAATATCCCGGCTTTACAAATCTACACTTTTCATTTTCTCCACGATACATTTTTTAAAATTGTTTAAATTTTATCTACATTTGTTAAAATCGGGGCTTTGGTTTTGTGTAAACTAGATCATAAAGTTTGCTATAGTTTTGTGTAACCTGATGGCTGAAAAAATAGTAATTTTGCTAAAATGATGTGCGGAAATTTGTTGCTTTCCAAATCAAATTACTCATACCTATATTTCATTCAAAATTAGGAGGCATTATTACTGTTTTTTCTTGTAACATGAAATGAGTTTGGGTACGGTGCTCCGGAAACGTTGTGGAATAGGTAGAGCAGTTTCCATAAAAATTGTTTAGATAGTTGACATGGCTTGTTGACAACTCTTTTGCTGTTTCTAAAAAGTGAAAAAAAAATATTTTCCTGCATTAAGCACACAAGGCATGTTATTCTCATAAGCTATCGAATGTGTGTGTGTTTTTAAGCTGTTTTTTTAAGCTTTTAAGCTGTAACTTCAGTTACTTCACTTTAGAACATATTGCCCAGAATGCGTCACTGATCATGAGCTGGTATATCATATCATATGTAGCAAATACATAAATGAGAATAGTTTGTCATGAATTTTTGTGCATGCTTCTGGATCATCTGTAATTACATCAAAGGCTCGGCTCAAGAGTGTCCTGCCGACCAGCTTATGCCCAACCCTTTCTGTCCGCAGAACGTCGCCTGCGACTCCCGCACGCCGTTTGCCCCGGCCGTCCGTACTGGTCTTCGCGCTGCGAGCCGCGCTGGAGTTCGCGGCGGCGTCGTGGAGCTCCCATCGGGACGGCGTGTGATGCCCGCGTCGAGCTTATAAGCCGTGAGCTTCGATTGGCGGCTCACGCGGTCACCAGCTGTATGTACAGCCTCGGCCCCGACGACCCCGCTAATGGCCGAGACCGGCATACCCCCGGCATGGGTCCGCTGTCCGGCGCAGCGCTGGCCGCCCGCATGCTATGCTACTTTTGGCTGTATCGCTGCCCAGCGGGAGCGCGCTCCACGCTGCGGAAGAGGTACACGTTGCGACCCGACTGAGGAGTGAGGACTGCAACCGGATGGTGACACGTCGGCCTCTGCGCCCTGGCCGGGGCAGGCGTGACCGACGTCACAGTGGAGGAACACCCAAACAAGACCAGCCCACCGTCGGAGCAGCATGGAAATATCATGTTCTGCCTGGACGTCGGACCCGGCGGCCGCAGTGCACCTGCACACGTGCGGAGAGAGGCGCTGGAGGCTACTCTGGAGCTTCTGCCATTCCGCGGCGCGACTGCTGGCAAAACGGCGGCGATTGAGGCGGTTGGGAACAGCTGCAGCAATGGTGATGGCGGTGATGGCGACATGGCGGTTTGGGACTTCATCTCAGCGCGGCCGCCGCCCAGGCGCCGCTGCGCCCGGCTGCTCAGCCACCTACCGGATGGCGGGGTGGCCCTTACGGCCCTCACGCCCGTTCGGTCTGCGGCCACGTTGTGGGGTGGCGGTTGCGGGGTTAGCGGCGTTGGACTTCGTCCTTTATCCAGACTGCACCGTACCATCTGAACGGATGGATCTGCCAAGAAAGATGACTTCCAAGGCGGCTATGAGGCGATCACAAAGCTTCACCAAGAGCTTCTCCTTCATGGGGCCGGCCGGCCGTTAAGTCGCAACACCGGCTGCCGAGTGCCAACAGCTGCGTGCGCTGGCGCCGACGCGTTGTGGGCCGCGCTGCTGACGCCCAAGCTGCGATATCAACCATCTATGAATAAGTGGCAGCGGTGGCGGCTTGTCAGTTGTTAACGTGCCTTAACAGACGTTGCGAATAGCCCGCGTTGGAATCGCATGGTTGGGAACACAACGCAAGTAAAAATGGACTTCCTTGATGAACCTACTTTTTAAGCATTGTAGCCTTTGTAATTTTGAATGTTTTGCTGTAGATATTATTTTCTACATATATACTATGAGGCACTCACGTGCTTTAAATCGCGCAATGCAATTGAACCATGGTAAAGACAATGATAAATGAACTGAGAGCTGACATGCCCCATGCTTTGTGTGTGTATGTGTGTGTGTGTGTGTGTGTGTGTTTTTTTTGGCGAGTCGATAAAAGTGGCTTTGGACACTGGATGAGTTTTTAGGGGTGTGGTGAGGGGGGATGTAATTCCACAGACCTTCTGTCAGATTCACTAATGCAGTAGGTCTGTGCGGTGTTTAGTTATCGGAGCATTCTTTGAAAGTCGTGGATAGGGCCACCGAGTACCTAAAGCGTTGATATTCCCCCACAAAAACTTCTTTTAAATAACCGGGGATAGGTACATGAGCAGAGTAAATGCTATTACGAACGCCTATCACAATGCTGAACGAATAGGAAAATCCATAGATGGAGAATTGTGCCGCGTTACGGGTGCTCGGGCGCAGCCAATCCACCGTTACCCCAGCGGTGACCTTGACCCGCATCGTCTGTCTCGGCTCCAAAGCCAAACCGGCGTGGAATTGGGAGCGTTCGAGCACTCATGGTCCAGCGCAATTCTCCACCTAAATCCATTCCTGATACACATTTGCTTGCTCATAGTCATGTAACCCCGGTAAATTCACCCAACTTTCATATTGGTCGCTCCATAGACAGATGGCCACAGAGATCAACTTAAAAGGCCATTGTTGCATTCATTTAGTGGAGATCATTAAAGAGCCGTGGCAGGCCACAAGTCGCGTGACATCATACGTGTAACGACCAATGACGTCGGTCTGCAAAACCCAATGGAAGCGGCTAGCAGCGTGCAGTAAAACAGGGCGCTGCTTTCTAAATGTCTGTCGTGCGCCATAAATGAATATATTCCTTGTAGCCTGGCAACTCAGTATCTTTTTTTAACTATTGTACTAGTATTTAATAATTTCATAATTTTATAATTGTGCTTACGCTTTATGTTGATATTAGTGATAAATCCTTAGATAAAGTAAATCGATGTGATATTTAATAGAAAAATAGCAAACTAACGCACCATTCATTCGAAAGCTGGGGAACCTACTAAAAAGAACTACTAAAATTCCTGAGGAACCAAAGGATCAAATGGGGATTAAATAGATGCCTGCTATTCCGTCGTGAAAACGGCCAATATGTATTGTAAGACGAAAGTGAAATCTGCAAATCGAACGAACTGACCTGCATATTTTGCACCATTGCTTTGTATCGGCCGGATTACATATTCCTGACGAATCCTACCTGACGGCAACGGTGTATGCTCTGGAAAGTTAGGCCAGTTGGGTGAGCGATATGACCTGACAGGAGCTCGGACGGCGACTGACCTGGGAGTTAGGTCAGTTTCGGTGAGTGGCTAGCCTGGCAGGGGTCCGGACGGCAATGACCTGGGGTGAGTGACGTGGCCAAGTTAGATCTGGAAAGTTAGATTAGTCCAGTGACGTGCCCTGGCAGAGGCCCGGACGGTGACCGACCAGAGAGTTAGGGCGGTTCGGTGAGTGGCGTGACCTGACAAAGATCCGGGCGGCAAGGGCTTGGAATGCTCGGTCAGTTCGGTGACGTGACCTAGCAGGGGTCCGCTCGACAATGCCCGGGTAAGTTAGGTCAGGTCGGTGGCGTGGCCTGCCGTGTGTAAGCGTGTCCCTCGACGAGTCGCTTCGTCGTGTGACGTCCCAAGTAGCGGAATGTTCCTTGTCCCGCGACTTATGGCGTATCCCTGGATATACCAAGATGGTTAAACATAAGCACGTGCTGATGGCGTTTGAACGATTTGGTTTATTGATGTTTCACCCAAGTGACCGTAATGTTCATGCTTCTTGGGTATTCTGCGCTTAAAGTATCTGCCTGGGCATCCCCCATGCTATTATCACCATTATTTATATATATTGTAGCCGCCGACCAGACTCAGTTCGAAACTCGGATGTCGTCACGGATCGGTGTATTGGACCGTGTGGCCCTCCGCACGCAATCGTTGCTGTAAAACAACGGCCCTAAGTTAAGCATTGCACAAATAAACATAAACGAGCGCAAACAAACGTGACGGAAATAAAAGGGACAGGCGAGGGGGAACATAACACACGCATAAATAAATAACTTGATAAAGGCAACCAGGTACATTGCTACGCGTCCATTCATGCACTTGAATATGCATATACGAAACAGTATAATTATATCGAAAGCACTTGATTACATGATTGTGCGACCGCGACATTTAGTTACGTACCGACAAATGTGCTCCCTGAGTCGCTTATCGGCTAACGAAACCAGAGGCACACGTCTCCAGAGGCACATTAGACGACCAGCCTCACGGTCTTGGTAAATGGCTATAAATCCGAGACGAGTGTCAGCCTTCACCTTATTTATCCACATATAAATGACCGGTAATAAATATCTGCAGGCAATTCATATAACATTCAATATTGGTTTCATACACAGTAAATATTCGCCCTAATTACGGTTACATATTCCATAAATAATACGAGTTAACAGTCATTTTTCCTGTGCGACTCACCGGCTCTGGCGCAGACACCACCACATACCACCAGCCTCAACGGGGCTCAACTGACCCGCGCCGCGCCCCCGACCAGCGCCGGGGCGCCGGGCACCGCCCATATTCAGAAATGTTCATCCGCGTCAGCTATCATATTCGCAACTTAAATGTCCAGGAGATCCCTACTCGCATCAAACAATACATTTTACAATCCTGAGCACATTATTGGGCATAACATACACATTAACGAGTCAAATATCACAGTTTCCAGTTACTACTTTTCTGACCCTGCGGTCGCGACGGCGCAGCTACATTCCTGGGCCCTGCCCCAGGCTACGGTCGGCCGGTGACCTCGACAGGTCAGAGGGACCGAGCGAGCAATGTGCCAAGGCTGTGAAACCAAGGAAGAAAATAGGAAATCAGCAGAATGGTAAACGTGGACTAAGGAACATAAAATGACAAAATGGAAATGGCGCGCCTACACCCCCACCCTTGAACCTTCCAGGTTCAACAGACCAAACGTGCTAAGCGCAATTGGAGCCTTCATCGCCAACCGCTTGCAGTCAATCCCCAGTTCAGTCTTCTGGAAATACAGCTATCAATCAACACAAACTAGTCTTCTGGAATTGATATCAAAATCACGTCACCACGTGCGATAGTCTGCCATGCTCGTGGTCTCACACGCTCTCAATGTCGGTGGTCTCGCTCTCCAGCACCAGCACCAGCTTGGAGATCGGTCTCTTCAGGGTAGATGTAGTGGTACGGACTATCACAGAGCGCACAAAACCCTTTCTATCTGGGAAAACCTCGGTGACTCGTCCCAAAGGCCAGTGACAGCGTGGAGAGTTCATATCAGCAACCAGTACCACATCATCAACTTGCAAATTCCTCTGAACCTTGTTCCACTTCTGACGAATTTGAAGCAGCGGCAGATATTCTTTTACCCAGCGCTTCCAAAAAACATCAGCCAAGAACTGGACTTGTTTCCACCGTTTTCCCGCAAAGCAATCTCGTTCACAGAACACGCCGTCTGGAATCGGTCCTCCCCGCAACAACAGCAAATCGTTTGGCGTGAGCGGCTGAAGATCGGACGGATCGCTGGAGACAGTCGTCAGCGGCTTGCTGTTGAGGACTGCCTCGACCTCGCAGAGCAGGGTACGAAGAGACTCATCAGTCAGGGACTGCTCCCTCAAAACAGCGTTCAGCACTTTTCTGACACTCCGGATCTGCCTCTCCCAAACACCACCCTGTGCCGATGCACCGGGAGGAGTAAACTGCCACTCGACTCCTCGTTTCAGCAAGAAGTTGTGCACCTGGCTCTCACGCAGCTTGGCAAACTCCTCACGAAGCTCACGTTCGGCGCCGACGAAATTGGTGCCATTGTCTGACCGAATGAACGTCACCTGTCCCCTTCTAGCCTGAAATCTACGTAACGCGTTCAGAAACGAGCTAGTGTCCAGACTTTCACAAACTTCGGTGTGAATGGCATGCGTCGCCAGGCAAGTGAAGAGTACACAAAACCGCTTGTGCCGCTGACGTCCAACCTTCACGTGGAACGGGCCAAAGTAGTCGATGCCCACTCGACTGAAGGCACCGCCTTGAGGAGTCGTCCTGTCTTCAGGTAAGTCAGACATTTGTTGAGTCACCATCGGGCCCTGAACTCGTCGGCATCTGACACATTTTGACAGGACTCTGCGAACGGCTGCATTGCCGTTAACCACCCAATACCTTTCGCGCAGTGCAGCGAGAACATGTTCACGTCCTGAGTGACCTTTCTTCTCATGCATGTCTCTGATGATGATGTCCGTGACATGACCATTCTTCGGCAGGATCATCTGGTGTTTGGCTGCGTCCGAGATAGCTGCGTTGCTGAGACGTCCGCCAACCCTGAGAACGCCATCAATCATGCAGGGGTTCAGACGATAAATCGAGCTGGATTTCTTGACAAAACGGGAGCTGAGTTCTTCTGGAAAGGCCTTCTTCTGAGTGTACTGCACAATCGCCACTTCTGCATCATCAAGTTCTTGAACGGTCAAGCGAGAGCTGACCCGCGAGAGCTGACCCGCTACCTCGGCATCACAATCACCTCTGTTCATCAACCGCTTCCACAGCATGCACTTCAGCCGAAGCCACCACGCCACGTGCCTCTTGAGCTTGTGCCAGTCAGATACGCTGTTCAACAACTTCGAAGTACTGTCACACTCAGCTGCTACCGAGAGAGTCCCCAAGCCTCTCTTTACCTCAAGATCTTCAACATCTTCATGGCGTTGGATCACATGCTTCTGGTCAGGCCATTCAGCTGCTTCTGCGCCGAGGAACGCTGGGCCAGTAGCCCATACCGATTGAAGAAACTCGCGTGCCGACTGTCCACGGGAGAGAGCATCCGCCGGGTTCAGTGCAGACGGCACGTACTTCCACTGACCGGGCTCAGAACCATCATGGATGACGGAAAGCCTGTTGGACACAAATGTCTGGAAACGAGAAGTGGTATTGTGGATGTAGCGAAGCGTGGACACACTGTCCGTCCAAAAATGCACTTCGTCAACTTTCAGGTCAAGTTCGGTAAGTATCTGTGTGCTCAACTGCACAGCTAGCGTCGCAGCGGCCAGCTCTAGTCGAGGGATTGAAGAAGTCTTCAGCGGCGCTACTCTGGCCTTGCTCATCAGAAGCGAAGTGCGAACTGTCCCTGTGCTGTCAGTCACCCTGGTGTAGCCTACTGCACCGTAGCCAGCTTCGCTTGCATCAGCAAACATGTGAAGTTGGCAATTCACCACCGCGTCTGGTGCAGTCACACTTCTTGGCACGCTGAACTCCCGCAGAAGGCTCAGTTCTTTGCACCACTGATCCCATCTTCTCAGGTGAGCATCTGGAACCGGGTCGTCCCATCCCAACTTCAGCCTGCAGAGATCTTGCAACAGGATTTTGGCTGACATGACGAAAGGAGCTCCGAACCCTAGCGGATCATAAACGGCACTTGCTGTAGAAAGAATGCCTCTCCTGGTTGTCGGACCCCTCCTGACATCAACACGGAAGCTAAGAGTATCTTCAGATACGTCCCACTGAACACCCAAAGCTCTTAGCGTCTGCGCAGAAAGATCGTGGCCGGTCAGATCAAACTTCTTGTGTGTCACGCGCTCAGATTCCGGGAAACAGAACATGACGTCAGGGCAGTTACTGACGAAGCTGGTCAGTCGGAATCCTCCCAACGCACAGCAGTCTCTGACTCCTCTTGCAATCCTCAACACCTCATCAGCCGTAGATCCTGTCTTCATGAAATCATCAACATAGAACGAGCGTTGAATACTGTCTATGACGTCAGCATCAAACTTATCTCCGAAGTCCTGCGCTGTCCTCCGTAGCGCGAAGTTTGCACAAGACGGAGAACTGATCGCACCGAAGAGGTGCACATTCATCTGATACACTTCCAGTTCCCGTTCTGTGTCACCATTCGGCCACCATAAAAATCTGAGCAAACTTCTGTCATCCTCCGGAACCCTCACCTGATAGAACATTTTTTCAATATCAGCCATGACTGCTACCGGTCCCTCTCGAAACCTCAGCAACACGCCCAAGAGAGAACTCGTCAGATTTGGTCCTTGCAGCAGCCGACTGTTGAGCGACATGCCCTGGTAAGTTGCAGAGCAATCGTAGACGACACGAATCTTTTCAGGTTTCATCGGATGATATACACCATGATGCGGTATATACCAGGTACGTCCCTCTGCCATGTCGATCTGCTCGTTCTTGACACGTTCTGCGTAGTTTTTCTCGATTAACTCATTGACAAATGTTTTGTAGTCTTGGAGATACTTCTGGCTCTTGAGCATTTTCCTTTTCAGCTGCTCTGCTCGTCTCTCTGCTTGCTGTTTGTTGTCCGGCAGGATGATCTCGCTTTTCAGTGGCAGGGGTATCTGGTAACGACCATCCAGGTGACGGACTCCGCCCTCCACGATCTTCATCCACGCTCGATCTTCAATGGAGAAGCCAACGTCTGTGGAACTAAGATCATGCTCGAAGTCCTGGTTGTAGAGCGCGACAAATTTGCTGTGAAGGTCAAATTCATCATCTGTTGGGCTTAGTACCTCGATACGATTTACTCTCGCGCTTCCATCGAAAACCCGGCTGCGGGATCTTGGTCCATACACCACCCATCCAAGAGACGTACGAATGGCAAATGGGCATCCCTCTCCACCAGCGCGAACTTCGAGAGGTATCAGGGCCTGAGGACAATTGGCTCCGATCAAAAGTTCAATATCCGCATGTACTTCCGGGGGAACAACCTCTTGCAGTTGTGGCCAGCGCTCCAGATCCGTAGCTGTTGCGATATCCTGGCGATCGACTGGAATTCTCTGCAACGTGTACGACGGCGGTAAATCCATTACTTTCTTCCCCGCCATGTCAGATATCTTCAGGCCTTTCACCAATGTGCTGGAAATCCGCTGGTTCTCAGCTGTTGCAGTCGTCATTGTGAGCTCCGTAGTTTCTCCTTCCATGCCCAGCGCCTTCAGAAGATTCGGCGTGCAAAACGTTGCGCTTGAGCCCAAATCCAAGAACGCATGCGTGACGACTGAACGAGAGCAGTCAGCGTTCCACATCTTCACCGGCAGAATAGCCATCATCGCCGACGACCTGCAGCTTGCCGTACCAGCAGAGACTTCAGTCGGCGATGCATCCAATCGTCCATTCTTCACAGAAGTGTTTTGCTCACCATTTCCATCAGAAGGGTTCTGACCAGTTCCTTCAACACTTTCGTTCTTGTGCATCGCTGTTGGATGCAGCCGCTTACAAGTTCCACAGACGAGCTTCCTGAAGCAGTTACTGAATCTGTGGCCCTTTCGAAGGCATCCGAAGCACAGTCTGTTCTCACGAACGAACTCTCGCCGTTTTTCCCATTGCAGCTTGACCAACTCAGCACACAGATCAGTGAAGTGACTACCATGACAGTACAGACAACTCTTCGAGGACTGTACCGCTCCTGCAACTGCTGTAGCTGAGACTGTGTGTGTCTGTCTTCTGACTCGTTCTTCTCGGTGCCTGCCAAACGTAGGATTGGTCTGGATTTGCACCTCGCTGTCGACGAAGGTGACGACGTCTTGAAACTTCACCCTCCTCTTCTCAGACTCTTGGATCTTGTGAGCTCGTCGCCGCCAGGAGTCCTGCAGATGGCTGGGGAGCTTCTCTACAACTTTCCGCATCGTCCGGGGATGGTCAGTCTCCCTGGCTCCAAGAGGAATGCTCTGCATTACATTCAAACACGAGGTGAGCGCCAGTGAGAAACGATCAAGTCCTTCAACATCTCCTGGCTTCAGCTGAGGCCAGTCCATCAACATGTCAACGAATGCCGACGAGACTGTTTCTGGGTCGCCATATCTTCGTTCCAGCAGTCGCCGAGCCTCCAGATATCCAACATCTTCGGTCATGTGAAGACATCCTCTGATGATGTCCCGTGGTTTTCCAGCGCAGTATTGCTCCAAGTAGAACAGCCGCTCCGAATCACTGTCGGTCTTGCTCCCGATCCTGCTATCGAAGGCACGGATGAAGGATCTGTATTGTGTTACATCACCCTTGAAAACTGGCAACTCTGGTCTCGGGAGACGACTTTGCTGGATCTGGGACAGGATGACCTGTGTAGCATCGGGCTGTGAAGCGTTAAGGTCAGGTTGAGGTGGATTCTTCCTGACGTTCATCTGATCAGCACGCGCCTCTGAAGCCCCAGCGTCTGACTGAACAGTGACCAGTGGTTGCTCGCTGCCGACAACGTCTTCTGCATGTCCAGTCCTCTCGTTCGGCTCAGCTGGACAGACAGCTCGCAACGAAGCCACGCCTGGTCTTGTTTGAGAACCTTGCTCTTCGGCTTCCATCAGTGCACGTTCTCTGGCTTCCACCTCTGCCAGCTCACTCTCCAACTGCAGATTCTCCATGCGCATCTTCATCTCCAGTTCTTCATTCTCTATCTTCTGCTTGCGCATCTTCATCTCCAGTTCTTCCTTCTCCATCTTCTGCTTCCTTTTCAGAAAGGCAGCTCGAGCCATCAGTCCCGCCTTCGTCGCCGACTCCGCTGCTCGCAACGAAGAGATGGAGACTTGCGAGGCAGAACTACGCAAGGACATCTGTGATGTGGCTCTGACGAGGGGTCCAGGAGCCGGGACCGTGTTGTCCAAATCAGGAACAGCCACCTCAGCGGCTGCGGCATCAGCTCTCGGTTCGGCGGAAACGTCCCGTCGAGCTGCAACGAATGATGCAACGTCGATTCCTTCTTGAACCAAAACCTCATTTAATCGCAGCATCAGCGCCGGCTTCGAACCCTTAGTGTCTGCACCTCTTCCCTTCAACTCCGCCTTCAACTCCGACACTTTCAGCTCTTCTAGAGGATTCATGATTGATGACAACTAATCAAAGCGGCTCCCAACTATCATCTAGCTGATTAACAGAAGTGTGACCAATTGAAGTACAAGACTTAGTTAGCAGTTGATCAACCAATCACGCAAGGCGACCGAGCCAGCTACGACAATCAGCGAGCTGCCCGGAGGACAAACCGCCTATCGATGACGCGTGAAACCGAGGTGAGTCTCCAGACAGGTGAGGTAAATCAATAGGAAAATTATCCAGGATCACGTGAAAACTTAGAGTTTGCTTAATATAACACCGAGTGCAGTTCATTCACGATCAATAACCTTCGGCAACACGTTAACAGCCGACGGAACACCCAACAAAACGCGAACTCCGTTAAGTATGACGCCACAATCGCTATATGACGTCAAAAGCTCAGTATGACGTCACCCCCGTCATGACGTCACAATAGTACGGCATTACGTCACCCCTCACTATGACGTCAACCATCCAGTATGACGTCACCAACCACCCAGCATGACGTCACCAAGTCTATGACGCAACTGTCCGACGTTATGACGTCACTTAGATCACGCGGCAAATGGCCTGGAGCGGAGTCACCACAGGCGTGATAGCGCGAAGGCGCTCACCATACCAGTACGGACGAGTGTGGTGCTCCTGCTCCTGTAGCGTGCCGTCCTCCACGACGAGGTGACGTCACTCCGTCGTCTCGCGAAGCGTTGTCGCAGTTGTCGCAACTGTAGCCGCCGACCAGACTCAGTTCGAAACTCGGATGTCGTCACGGATCGGTGTATTGGACCGTGTGGCCCTCCGCACGCAATCGTTGCTGTAAAACAACGGCCCTAAGTTAAGCATTGCACAAATAAACATAAACGAGCGCAAACAAACGTGACGGAAATAAAAGGGACAGGCGAGGGGGAACATAACACACGCATAAATAAATAACTTGATAAAGGCAACCAGGTACATTGCTACGCGTCCATTCATGCACTTGAATATGCATATACGAAACAGTATAATTATATCGAAAGCACTTGATTACATGATTGTGCGACCGCGACATTTAGTTACGTACCGACAAATGTGCTCCCTGAGTCGCTTATCGGCTAACGAAACCAGAGGCACACGTCTCCAGAGGCACATTAGACGACCAGCCTCACGGTCTTGGTAAATGGCTATAAATCCGAGACGAGTGTCAGCCTTCACCTTATTTATCCACATATAAATGACCGGTAATAAATATCTGCAGGCAATTCATATAACATTCAATATTGGTTTCATACACAGTAAATATTCGCCCTAATTACGGTTACATATTCCATAAATAATACGAGTTAACAGTCATTTTTCCTGTGCGACTCACCGGCTCTGGCGCAGACACCACCACATACCACCAGCCTCAACGGGGCTCAACTGACCCGCGCCGCGCCCCCGACCAGCGCCGGGGCGCCGGGCACCGCCCATATTCAGAAATGTTCATCCGCGTCAGCTATCATATTCGCAACTTAAATGTCCAGGAGATCCCTACTCGCATCAAACAATACATTTTACAATCCTGAGCACATTATTGGGCATAACATACACATTAACGAGTCAAATATCACAGTTTCCAGTTACTACTTTTCTGACCCTGCGGTCGCGACGGCGCAGCTACATTCCTGGGCCCTGCCCCAGGCTACGGTCGGCCGGTGACCTCGACAGGTCAGAGGGACCGAGCGAGCAATGTGCCAAGGCTGTGAAACCAAGGAAGAAAATAGGAAATCAGCAGAATGGTAAACGTGGACTAAGGAACATAAAATGACAAAATGGAAATGGCGCGCCTACATATATATATATATATATATATATATATATATATATATATATATATATATATATATATATATATATATATATATATATATATATATACATAGCTGTGTCGTTTGAATAAAAAGCTGGCCAGTCATTTGCTTTAGCCATTTCGAAAGACACTCTTGCGACTTCACGTTGAGCACAAGAAAAAGATCCATCGAGTCAAGTTGTCCTGGTGTTTGAGGGGTGTCGATTGACACTGCCCTGGTTTTGAAGGGTGTCGATTCACACTGCCTTGGTGTTTGAAGGGTGTCGATTCACACTGCACTGGTGTTTGCGAAGGGTGTCTATTCACACTGCCCTGGTGTTTGAAGGGGTCGATTCACACTGCCCTGGTGTTTGAAGGGTGTCGTTTCACACTGCCCTGGTGCTTGAGGGGTGTCGATTCATACAATGCCCTGGTTTTTTGAAGGGTGTCGATTCACACAATTCCCCGATGTTGCGAAGGGTATCGATTCACACTGTCATGGTGTTTGAAGGGTGTCATTCAAACTGCCCTGGTGTTAAAGGGCGTCGATTCGCACTGCCCTGGTGCTTGCGAATAGTGTCGATTCATACTGCCCTGGTGTTTGAAGGGTATCGATTCACACTGCCCTGGTGTTTGAAGGGTGTCGATTCACACAATTCCTTGGTGTTTGCGAAGGGTGTCGATTCACGCTGCACTGGTGTTCGAAGGGTGTCGATTCACACTGCCCTGGTGTTGGAAGGGCGACGTTTCACACTGCCCTAGTGTTGCGAAGGATGACATTCGTTGGGTGAGCACTGCGCCTTGTGTGATGGGCCACCGGGCATTCAAATAGCACTTTTTCTACTCTCGAGAACCAGTCCTTCTGGTAGCTTAACGAGGAGAATCTGAGTGTGCCAATCTCCTACCATTACCTGTCGGTTCCAGTTGGGGCTTTTGGTGGCGGATGAGGAGCGCAACCGAAAAATGGGTGAGTACGGCCAACAACAGCCAAACTGGAATGGGTCGCAGCACGGAACACAGTAGCGACAGAGAGGAAACACTAATCGGTATTAGGGTCCCCTAATAAAGTTTAGTGGCCCCTCTGGAGTGTGAAGACCAGCTGGGTCGGAGGTGGGTTGGGGAGCGGCAGTCCGTGGGGAGGGGCGAGGGCGGGGAGGGCGAGGGAGGAGACGAGAGGACAGACGTCAGTCAGTGAGAGGGGACGACGGTGACAACAGAGGCGGGCCGCGAGTGGCGCGTCTCCCACCCCCCATCCCCAACGGCGCCAATGTCCTCAACATTGTCTCCTCCGTCTCTTTTTCGTTTTCTTTTTTATTACTTCTCTCCCTCTCTCGTCCGACGTCGTCTCACCCACGGTTGTGGCGGATGAGGAGCGCAACCGAAAAATGGGTGAGTACGGCCAACAACAGCCAAACTGGAATGGGTCGCAGCACGGGACACAGTAGCGACAGAGAGGAAACACTAATGGACGAATCCTACCTGACGGCCACGTCATTTTGCTGTTATGTACTACGTACCGTTTTATCAACAACGTATAGTGTCACAAGCCACGGCTGAAGGTGAAAGCCGCACCCGGTGGCCTCAGCAGCGGTACCTCGCGTTCCTCCGATCCACCAATGCGCATTACGAGAAAGTAGCGGATTATCCGTGCATTCCACGCCGTAAAGCCGCTTTCCGAGTCGCTCGCGTTAGTTCAATGTCATGAGTTGGCTGTTGAACTTTTGTCGGGCAGCGCCGGAGACCGGTCTTACCCCGGCCTGGCCTCTAAAATCACACAGGGGCCGTTCCCAGTGGCCCCTGGGGGTTCTGAGCTGTTCTCTCAGACGGCTTTTGACCAGTATTGTTCCGCTAATCCCACAGTCAATGGTCGGCGCCTCCACTCGAGCCCGGCGGCCTGGGATGCAGGATCAGAGGAGCGCTCTGCAATGAAGTCGGGTGGTGTGAAGCTGAGACGCAGTTGTTCACGGAAGTGCTGGTATTGTCACGGGCAATATGCATGCGGTGTGATTGCATGCTCGTTGAAAAGGACATGCTAATGAATGGCAAGCCTCAAATGAACACGGTTTGGAACGATACACGAATGTTATCGGTAATATTGCCGTTATGTATGTAATTCTTTTCCTCAGATTTCCTGAGTATGTGTTTTTGCCACACATATGCCACCCTAATCTCTTTAACAGCTCGTAACTGCCTTTGTTTCTCCAACAACACCTCGTATCTTTACGGAACATAACACGTCCATACAGCGCGTGCCCCCCCCCCCCACGTTATTTTACTGCCTTGGTGACGTCAGCCCTCTGATGATCCGCGTGAGAACGGGCTGGTGCCGTGTGTCGGGATACCATCTGGCTGACAGCCGCTGTACGGAGGCGCCTGTCTGCGGTCAAAACGAGTAGATGATGTCGCGGTGTCCAACGGACGACAGTGAGCCATGACAATCAGTCGTTCAGAGAGACGGCCGAAGAAACGGTCCGCGGTGGTAAAAACTGGCCACTGCCGCTGCTGGAGGCTGGAGCAGAGCACTGAAAGTAGTCCGAAGGACGGTGACACTCAGATTCAGAGCACCTGACATGGGTGGTTGAGATGTGTAAAGAAAATGACACCTTATCACCATTACAATAGCAAATACCAAACACAAAAGCAAACAGTTTTCAGGCATGCGCAGTCTAAAAATTAAAACTTAAAAACATCAATTTACGTGTTCTGCAGTACTTTCTCGGAAAATACAATGAACATCACATTAATTTTTCGTTACTCGGCAACCCTGACAAGCTTTTTAACTCTTTCGATCACCCTTTCCCGAAAAAAAAACAACGAATTGCCGTTGACCTGATTTTGACCCGGCAGCGCTCTGCTGGTGCCGACATACAGCACCACGCATACGATGTCTCGACATCCCCGACCGCCCTGAACATCTCGGTGACACCGATCTCCAGATGATCAAGGTGCCGCATTGACAGCGGTAGAATTGTGACAGTAACGGGGACGGTGGCAGCGGTGACATCTTGCACCGTTACAATGTGCGGTGCCGGTGTCTGCCACCCGCTGCAGGTTACCACAGAGCGAAACATGGTTGACGGGTGCCGAACATATATGTAGAGCTGACCGGCTCAGCGCTGACATCTTGGAGTGACGCTTTTGGCGCCGGAACAGCACTGGGACACGACTGTGACACGAGAGTCGCAGACCTAAGCCGTATTCGGTGTACGCTGGTATACCGAGTTTAGAATGTTTTACCATACATCTGGTACACACGATGGCTTGCTTATTTTACAGTGATCAAGTAAGTGTACAGTGTACATACTGTGAAACACTATTATGGCGGCGGTTCAATGCTCGTGCAAATATGACTAGCGGTATCTACTGTTCATTCAAGACCCGCATGAAAGGCTCGAGGTAGACATTACGCGGAACTTGGGTGCTATGAAGAGCACAGGAAGGTTGCACTTTGTCCTTGTTGTCTGTGCAGGAAAGAAGCGCAACATGAATGGTACATGTCGAGCGACACTGTACTAAGTATGCCATGCTGGCGCGTTACAACTCTTCTTTTTGTTGCAATTTGAATACATCCGGTTTACAACAGTGCAACGGTGTGCAACCGCTTATTGGGAATACACCAGTAAACTGGGGTCATTGCATTACCGTGGCAGTGTCCAACTCTGTCTGGGTATTCAGGTCCAAGTCATGTTCAATCCATGGCACAGACCGGACCTGTATCTGTATCTCAGCGGCTGCTTGCCAAGATGACTCGTCTTCAGCAGACAGAACAGGAGTCTCGCAGCCTGCACCACTTATATACCAGTCGTGGGGGACACCACAAAGTGCATAAATATTAATGAAAAGAAATAGTTGCGCTCGTGCCAGCAGGGTCGCTGAGTCCGCAGTAGAGGTCCGTGACATTTAGCAACATGCCTGTCTTTATACTGTATGTAGACGACAGTCACCCCTCTCGGCTGAAACCTGGACCATCAAGGCGCCGCTCACATCGTCGGATAACTTTATTAATAGTTCTTGAACAGGCGTGCAGGCTTCAGATAGGTGTCGACGCCACCGGTGACGCACCATGCAGACAGACAGACAGACAAACAGACAGACAGACAGACGCTAATGTCCATTGTATGGAGCGCACGTGCGTGCTCGCACATTGGTGCGTGCTGACACCGTCGCGTGATGGATTTGTAACGGCACACGTGTGATAAATCGGTGCACAGCATTGCACTCAATGCACGCCATATGGGACAAGGGGTTATTCTGAAGTCTGACCCAATTAACGATTTGATTCATCTCACAGCTAACGATGTAACAACGTAAAGATGTAGAGCTGATCAAGTAGCTCCGCGTGAGGGTGCGAGAACTTCGAGCTAACATTTTGAGATATTATCCTGTTAATTGCTCCAGTTAATCTTCATTCGACTCTCATAACTAGGTACCGCTTTTTTAGAGAGAAGCAGATTCAACACAACATTACAATAAGCTGCCATCATAATTTGAGAGTGGCCATGTGAACTGCACGTATATTGCTAGTTTTAATATGCGACCACTACTTTTCGCAATTTACAGCAGAAATGCTCAAAAACAATTAGTGAAAAATGATAGCTATTCCAAAAAAAAGCTGTCAACGTAAACGTGATTAACATTCCATGCCCGGTGTTCATGTTTTGTATGGTGAGGATTAATTAAATTTCTTGAAAACGTACAGTGAAAAAGCTTGAGGGTCCTAAAAATGTATACCGCATATAATACACGTATAGCCCCATTGCTTCCTATGGCTCCTGTCCTGCCACCATGCATCGTACCCCTCGACCTCACACATAGTTCCTCTCAAGGATCTGAGCGTCTTCCAACCGCGCCGCTCCCGTCCAAACTCATTCTCTGCGGTCAGAGGAGGAAATAGAGGTGGCAAAAGATGAAAATTTTGGGAACCAGACTCGAACCAGACCCGGCTGGACATTTCTGGAACCAGTCGGACCCGGCCTTAGTTGGAATCGGAA